TGCTTGCCACCCCTCCACGGAGTGTTTCGGTAGCCCTTCCCGAACCCCGGGGTATAGGGCTCGTACCTTTCTTGTCTCCCAAAGGCTTTAGACTTGCCCTTTTTTCCTTTTCCTTCCGTCTCAGGGAGGGGCAGCAACGCTACGAGGAGTTCATATTCTTGAAGAACGCTTTGCATGGCTATGTCCAAGGGCAACTTACCATTAACGTCTGCCCGAATGTCCTCGCCCTGCTCTGCAAGCTTAGCGAACGCCAGCTTGTCCGCCCTGAGGACCTGACGCAAGGAGACCTTGCGATATCCTGGCTGCGCAGGTCTAGTGACATACTTGAAAAGTGTGTCAATGTAGCGCTCATGGACATCCCAGCTTATGAGCTGCGCAAAGTGATAAGCGACTCCTCTGCGCCTGAGAGCCTGCAAAACCTGCAAGCTGCCCTCAATCTCCAAATCTTGCAAGCTGTTGGAATCCACCAGCTTCAGTTTGCCACCTTCCAGGCTAACCGTGGATGCTGCAGACTTGAGGTTCTGAACTTCTTCTTCTCTGCTGTGGCATTTCTCTGGTCCAATGTGTTTCAGGGACCTAGAGTCCCACTGTTGCATGGCTGCATCTAAGAGGCCGTGAGACGGCTCAAGCGGGCCTGAGATTGCCACCCCTTTCAGTTGCAGTTTCAGCTTTTCCATGCGGGCATTTCTCTCTGCCATGCCCACTCTCTTCAGGGAAGCGCCATCTGGCTGCTCTGTCATGTCTNNNNGCTTTCTCACCTATCGTCATGTTCTGAAGCAAGGAGTTCGTCCAATTGTCAAAATCTGTCTGAGGTAACAGCTGTCCCGGTTGTCCCACGCAGAAAGCGAGCTGGGATAGGGTCTTGAGGCCTGCATCCTGCAAAGCTGTGATGACTCTGGTCGTCAAGTACACCTCAGCGGCCCTTTGAGAAAAGTACGCTGCCGAATCCACCTGGCTAGTCATGGCTACCTAAAGCTTGAGATGAGCTTCGGAACAGCTAGTTGCAACCTGCTGTCTGCAAAACACGCTGGCCACACAAGTTTAGGCGTCAGGGAAGCACTTGTTGCATAACGGGTGAGACGTTAATTTGACCATGGGAACCCTCTTGTAGGTATCCTGAAATGGTCTTCCACACATGAACACGGCGGCTCCTAGC